TATACAGATTCATAATTATACTTTTAACTTGCACTAATTACAAACCAATATATCAGATATAAAGAGAATAATGTCAATATTATCCCTAACATAACTATCTTTAGCAAACTTACTCTTCCATCTCCTGAGTTCTTTGAGCAACCTGTCTAGAATTGGTTCTAATTCTATATAAATATGCAATATGTTTGCTGCTGCTGTAGGTCCAACTGCTCTAAGGAAATGCATCTAGAACTTTGTACTATTTCCCCCAAACTTTGATAATGCTCTAAAAGAATCTCTCGTGGATTAATACGATGATTTATTCATGACACAATTTATAAGAGCTGCTTCCTTGAAAATAATTTTTAAAACACTCAACCGGACAAAATGGAGAAATAAATCTTGCAAAATGCACCAAATTACCCATACGTATAAATCCTGATTTTGATTTCGATAACGCCAAATATAAAAACTACACCATTTATAAAATTTAGAAAGTGTTATATTTATGCAATGCAGAGTCAAATTTTGATACCTCGATTAAATTAGGAATCTGACTGGGCAACAAAGACATACAAGTAGTCAATCCATGCATCTGCAAATATTCGTCTTAGTGTGAATTTGACAATGACTGAAAAACGAACAAACACCAAGTAAAGCGTATAATTGAACAATTCCGTCGGTACTCGAAACTGTGACGACAAAAAGGAACATGTCAATATAACAGAAAAGCAACCGTGTATACTTGAGCAATATAACATCTGTTAACCAATCACCATAAATTCTGAATAAAATCTATAACATGACATAAAAGATTAAACACTGTACATATTTATAAATTACAGTCAAACTAGTTTCAATCTCTATATAATGATTTTGACTCACAGTTCAGGTGGCTCTCAGCCTTGATTAACAGTTCAGGTGGCTTCCAGCCTATACATTTCAAATTACTCTCAGCTTAGACTCCCAAGTCAGATAGCTCTCAGTCTCAGTGATTCTTAACTCACAGTTCAGGTGGCTTCCAACCTTGACTCACAGTTCACGTGACTCTCAGCCTATGCTCATAGTTCAGTTGGCTATCAGCCTTGACTCACAGTTCAAGAGGCTCTCAGCCTTGACTCACAAATCAGGTGGCTCTCAGCCTTGACTCACAGTTCAGGTGGCTCTCAGCCTATACTCACAGTTCAGAAGCCTCCAAGCTTTGACTCAAACAACAGATAGCTTCCAGTCTGACACTCACAATTCAATTGTCCCTCAACCTATACTTACATTTCAATTGGCTCTCAGTCATTACTCACTTTACAAGTTGCTCTCAGCTTAGACTTACAGTTCAGGTGACTCCAAACCTTTCAGCCCATAAGAATCACATACTTTTTTTTTTTTTTTAACAAATCTTTCAAGCTCTCAGCATACACAATCTTAGTTTTAATCTTGAATTCTTACCTAAGCAAACTAAAATAACAGTTCCGTAATATCTAGTCATGTATGAACCATGATAGAAAATCACATTTTCCTATTTTTTAAAAATAAAAATTACTAATAGTAAGTAACACACAACAAAAGTTTAGTCCCAAACATAGCTTAAGCTTCAATACAGCTTCGACATAAATTCATTGGACAAAAACTAAGGTGGTGCAAAAATGCTCTTACTACCAGATCCTGCTATGAGAAATTTAGAAGAAAATGAATAAATAAATAAATCCAGGTATAACATATTCATTATGAATGACCACACATGATTTAAAATTGTTTATAGTTAACAAACAATAGGGCCAAAAAAGTCTACCTACGAATACCAGGGTATAGTGGTGCCTTTAGCCCTGCAAAGAAACAGATGATTTATCGCAGTTGGTACCAAACTAAGCAGAAGAACAATCCAGGCGTTGAATTTCTTCCAACTGAAAGCTTAAAAGCTTCAACTCCAGAAGTACTAGATGTCCAGAATTTGCTATAAAATAACTGATATTATTTCAATCGGCAAATAATTCTATGAAATAGATTGAAAAGCCATAATCGTGGACAGAACTCTTGTCATAAACTTATATATATATTGCCTAAAACTTTCTGGAAAGAAAAATAATAGTAGTTGATAAAACTCTGAGAATGAGATCAGCAGTTTGTGCCCCAAATCTTGAAGATTTTCTGTGTAGCCGGTAGGTATAGTCAGATCACCTTAGAAGTATCCCAAATAAAATGAACTAACTCAAGAGTTCCCAATAATCTTTAGTATGTTTGTAACAAATCCTGCCTTACTCAAATCTAGATTTAAAGCATATGCGATATCAAGACAAGATTCACAGCTACATGCATATGTAGATGCAAGAACCGAACACGTCATCCAAAACACTATACTATTCTATAACCTTTTTTTTTTCCACCGATGTTTTACTGAGGGTTTAAGTAGAAGAGTAAAATGTTATGGAGCAAAGGCCAAAATCAGTGCAAAGGCTATACGTACATAAATTTATTGTTACCATTTTTTTTCTTCAAATTTTGACATGAAATCATTGACTTTTAATACTGCGAAGCCTATTTGACACCCTTTAGTGTAAATTAATCTTTTTCGTACACTCTTTTTAAATGACATAGATCTTAGATAAATAAAAATTCTCCTTACCTTGAGAATTTAAAGCTAATCTTGAGAATGGAAAAGAAATCGCATAACATAATTATACATCTGCTTAAAAAGAGTGAATTTCAAGGTCGCCATTTGTTTTTAAGAAACAAACTTATTGTTTAGCAAAATAATAGGCTTTAAAAACATTAGAATAACTGTTAAGATGCAGTATTCACAATAAATTTGTCAGCAATAAAGCATTTTTTTTTTTTTTCAAAATTCGATGTTATCATCTTAATTGCCTTTAACAAATCAATAATATCATAGTTTTCCCAGTACACCAAGAATTGCATACCATGTTATATGTCTGATCCGGTACTTGGAACAGGTTGAGTTGCTGTAGGTTTTGTGATCCCCAGTATCCGAATTCAGAGGCACTGATCTGACTGGAGTAGTTTGTGAGCGAGTGTAAATGAAGTTGGAGTTGTCAGAAATTGGGTTGTCTTCGTAAAATCTGGACGTGACACATCCATATTAATCAACAATACGCATTACCTTTTACTGATCTTTGGTTTTACTTAAAGGATCTGCAATGAATTTCTCTAAGCCAGCAAAATCACTGCATTAAACAGATTTTTATTATTTTTATTTTTATTATTATTATTATTATTACTATTATTATTATTATTATTTTTTCAAAATAAAACTGCAATTCCGATAAAAGAATTATATGCTATAAATTATATAAACCTTTCTTATTGATAGCAAACTTAAAATCAAAATTCTTATCTGCTTTTGTTGAAATCGCTGTCCTGGATCCAATTCCATTCTGCTTAATCACTGCAAGTCGTGCATCGAATTTAAATGCAAACAACTGGTGAGCATTAACGGTGAAAAATATAAATGGATAAATCAGCATTTCCAAAATGGACAAATGGCCCTCCTGAAGAAACTCATACATGTGGACTTTTCAAGTCTTCAATTTAGCACGTGCGTAAAGGCGACTTTCATCACAGTCAGGCATCGGGAAAACTTGTAAGTCGTTGGCTAACTTTTGTCGAGTGATTACAATAGCCAATTCCAAAGTTTAAATACCCTAAACCGAATGATGGAAACTTACTACGATAAACAAAATAGTGCCATTTAAATTGCCAACATTAAAATTCATTTAAATACCCAATACGTTAAAGCCTTGCTGGTCCAGTGGATTAAGTGAAAGCTTTCAAAATCAAAGGACCCCGGTTCAAATCCACTGAGGCACACGTATTTTTTCCACTTTTTACAAACGAAAAGAAATTTATTTAGTTATATCCATCTATATAGTGTTAACATATCCAATATTACTCGATACCAAAGAACATGCTACAAATACAAAACAATTTTTAACATTAACCATCCGTTATTTGGGTCTGCTTAACCATTGCTTTTATACAAAAAATGATGACAGTATGTTTCATCTACTTGCTGAATATAGTGCTCATGGCGGGTGTGACAGATCAGTAGGGGGTATTGACTCTTCCATTGCATCTGAACCCCACTCTGTTATTTTAGATGTCCGTGTTTGTCCTGCTACTGCTTGTTTTTCAACGACTTTTGACGAGTCACCAGGGGATAAGTACTCCTCCATTGCATCTGAACCACATTCCGATGTTTTAGAGGCCCATTTTTGTCCTGCTTTTAATCTTTTTTATGTACTTTTAAAGTTGAATATTGTTCGTTATTTCGACACACAATCAATAATTCCCAGATTATAATTTTTGCGTTCAGATTTTTACGTTTGTGTGTATTTGGGTGTACATTTGACTGTCATTTGCAGAAATAAGATCTTTTAAACTAAATACCCATGTACTAAATTTACTAAAGCATTGGATGTTAATAACCTATGGTTTTTCAATAATAAATGTATTCTATCTACAATTTCGATCCCATTATAACAATTGGATAGTAAAAAGGTTTATAAGTTATAAAAGGAAGACATCTTGACAGACGAAAATTTTAACTAATGTTTTTAAAAAGTTTAGCTAAATATTCATGGACATTACAATTGTGATAGGCATTATATATAATATAAGTAAGTTATCTAAAATTAAAGAGGAGATACTGTAAACTAAATATTATTCGCGTCATCTCTTATTCGCGATTCGTCAGTTTGAAATCAATCAGCGACGATTAACTTTCACGTATAAGGAAACATTTTCTACAAAGACAAAGCAAAATGAATGGTTCGCGGAGAATAATTTTCGCGACTTTAAGTAAGTCGCGAAACTCGCAAATATTGGTGGCATGAGAATAAAGTTTGTTTACAGTAAAAAAAATATTAAGAAAAGCTCATGCGGAAACAAGCATAATTTGTAAATTCTTTCTGATCAGAGTGAAACACGATACAGGATTCATCGTTTTCTTCTGTTGTCACTGAAAGTAGAATCTGATTTTAAAAAACGATTATTTGTTACATATACAAGCCATGGAGAACTCCACGAACTACACTTTACCTCTACAAAGTACTTATTTTGATCTTGCTTTAGGTTGTACAATTCTGATTGGTATAGCAGCTCTTGTGGGGATATCTGGAAATTTAATGATTATCTTCTTTTATTTCTTTCGGATCAAAGACCGTGGAGAGCGATACTACATTCCGATTCTTGCAGTTATTGACTTTCTTTCAAGCATCACTAGCTCCTTATACAACATCATGGATAACTCTTATTTTTATAACTACCCCAATGACGTCATCTGTCGACTACTGAGCGCTCTACAGGTTTGTGTACCGGGGATATCTGCCCATGTACTACTATCCATACAAAGATACCTTTTAGTGTGTAAGCCATTTGGACCAAAAATGACGTTATTTTGGAAACGACTTGCTCTGGGACTGGTTTTTGGAATTACAGTAGTCTATTCAGTTCCCATCTTGGGAACAGCTGGGGTGAAAACTTCCCAGGAGGTGTACCTTAATCACAATGTTACTTTCAACATATGAGCCTCGTCGGATAGAAATCGACCTTATCGTATGCAACGTCATAATGAGAAAAAAGCGAATAAAGTTGAGAAAGATTTCCCGGTATTTTTACTACACATGGTTTTCACTTTGAGGAATGTTTTAGACATCGTCAACGGCAGTTCAAAGAATTTTTTTTCAAAAAATCGGATCATTTTAAACAGGTACTAATAAAATAAACAAATTTTAAATGTATTCCCCTTCGTAGAGCCTTTTTTTTTTGTTACCATGGATCAATGTAAACACAGGCCAGAGGAATGCCGAGTCCGATCTACACTAAGTCTTTTCTTTCAAACAGCAGAAGACATAAGGCCAAATCTAACACCAGATAAATAATAAGTTGGTAGACATATAGCGAAGAAAAAAATGGCATGATGCATTACTGAGGAAGTACAGAATATATTTTCATTGTAGTTTAGAGTATAAATTTTAGCCAGAGGAGACGTAATCTGGCACAGAAAATCGCACATGTACTGATGCAGTAATAGCCTAGTGTGTGAACTTCATTTACTATCATCGTGTGCACGGGTATTCATTCATTCTCGATTAAATTCGCAATGTTATATTAGATATACTTTAATGTTTTATGTCTTTGAATGGATTTACGTGTATTTTCAAATTTTATCACAGAAATTAACCAACCAACCAAAACAAAACAAACAGCTAGGCATATCGATTCAGTACAAAATGTACAAAGGCCACAATTCAACAACTTTTAAAACGCATTTTTCTAACTACAAGAGATATCAAAGAAACAAGTAATACTGGTATTGTTTAAGGCAATTTCTTCATATATCAGTAATTCTCAAACGGAAACACATATTGTCTGAAGCGACTGGATACGATAAATTGTGCAAGTTGCTTCCCTTTGACGCAAAAAGAGGCTCAACACGGGGAATCGTTTTCTTTAAAAAAGATGTTTTTTCTCTCTATCTTTACTTTTGTCTCTCTTCCATTACCAGATTTTAAGTTAATTTTCTTAAATATTTCACTCCTTATTTTGCACGTATATAAAAATACCGACGATGGATCACCTATGATTTTAACTTGGCTGGCGAAAATGTAAGTTGGGCCCGGTTTGTAAAACATATATATCATTCTATGTCATTAATATGTTGAGTTGTAAACCAAAAAAAATTACTCTAAAGTCGGGTGTCAAAAGAAAAGTTTTGTGAAAGCTGTTCTTAAATATTCAGCATAATGTTAAATATTTCGAACCCCATTAATACCAAACTCTTCTCTATTTTTTTAAAAGAGAGGGTGGATACCCACAACAGATAACTTGATTATAAATCTCATTTTTTTAATTTGATTTTTTTTATTTACAAAATCATAAAACAAATAATTATGAAATGTCTATAATTTTATAAGTGTTAGGGTTAGGAACGGGATTACAGAATTCTGTCGATCCGTACGCTGCTTGCCTTCATACATATTATTTTTCTCTAAAGGAGAGAAAAATGGTTTTTTTTTTTGTTGTTGTTGTTTTTATTTTTTATTTTTTTTTTTGGGGGGGGGGGTTCTTAAGTCAGCATACATGTATAAAAAGGTATCTCGCCGGCTAAATATGATATAATTTATTTTAGAATCCATACAGTCTATATATATTAATCAATTCTCTTTTTAACATTTAGTTTGTTTGCAGTTAGTTGAATTGTAAAAGAAAGAAAATGTTCTGGCGCATGGTTTTATATCGTAATTCAATATAGCTTGTGTTTTTCTTTTACTTTCCTTCAATGCATTTCTATTACTCCAGTAGCATGTAACAAAGAAATTATAAATTTTGCATTTCTGAAATTCATATTGATATCCATTCATTTTTTTTCTGTTGATAGAAATATTTTGTAAACTTTATGAAAAATCTCTTTTTGAAAATGCATTAGAATATTGCGTTACAAATAAACTATCATCGTCGGAAATCCAAGAGTGATCTCGTCTTTACATATCGCCCGGTGATGCGTAAAGATGAGATCATCCTTGGGTATCCGATGATGATAAACTATAGGCTATAAAGAACAAAAAAAATGAAAAATCATATTCCAGAAATAATGCATGCATACTTATTGAGTCGAGAATTTCAGCTTACCAATGTTCAAACAATTATATGTTTCCCGTGACTTTCCGCTACATGTAACTATAAAACTTATTCTTCTAAATTAGGTGAGGTCTCTCGCGATCGAAGTTAATTAAAAATGTACGAACAATGCATGATTATAATTTTATCTAACAATGAATTTTAGATTATTCACATCAAATTAATTTTTAAAGTAAAATTTTGTACATTATGAGATATTTTGTTGATGAGCACAGAGAGAAATCTTTTTTAACTGTTAACATCGGCGTCAAGCAAAATTCAATCAATCAATTATTTGTACATGTATATTTTCTTACTAGTATTTATTTTTCTACATTATGGATAATAGACATTTGATGAAAAGATGATTGGGTTTTTACTAGGAGGGGGGGGGGGTGTAATAATGTAAAGACATCGTGGCTAAATTTTTGTCGAGCTATCCGTCCAATTACAACCAAGCGAGAATGATGTGGAGGAAAACAGGGTGTATATTTATGAACTAGCTATTTGAAGATGAATGTGGCTGCAGCAGAAACGGTTTTAGGGAGAAAAATCCTAATAAAATGAGCTTACTTTTAGACACAGGGGTAGTATCACATCATGCATGTTTGATTTCACGTAATCACTTTGTATAGACAGATGGATGTGATTTTTTTAAATTTAACTCTAGAGCAATTATTGTAGTGTAGCGGACAGTATAAATAGGGAACTTATACTACCTCGCTAGTGAGCTAGCTTTTCTGATGATGCGGTAGAGTCTCCCTCTATTTCAGGCAAGTTAACCCTTGGATGGGTGACCGCTTCACGTTACAGTATAGCATGATTTAAGTTGTGAATTTATTGGCTGCATGGTTCATGTATTTTGCTGTAATAAACAAGCTATTCCGAGATCGAATTCGAATCGCTGTAAATTTTGACTCGATCTACATTGGTTCCCTTTTCCTGTACATGGTGATTATTTTAAATCAAACATAGTGTGTTAACTAACTTGCATGCTTTGAGGATACAGGCTTTATCAAACTTAAAAGCAGTATAGTGTAAATCTATATTTTGTTTATTGGAAGTTCAGTTACTCAGTATTCATAGAGACAAAGCTGTCGGTACGAAAGACAGAAAAGTAGAAATTAAAGATCGGGGGGGGGGGGGGATGGAGGATTCGTTTTTTAAAAGATTTAAAATACAGTTAACACAGTTTTTGGGATTGTACATCATGATCATCTGTTTTTGTCATTTATTAAGCAATTCTTTTAACTTAGACTTGATGACCGCTTGGATTGCTACGCGTTGACAGGTGCCTTACCGAAAAACGGAGAATAAACCATGACGTCACAATATTGAATCGTGAAAAAAACCACGATATACTCAGAGTTAATTTTGCAAACATACCAATTTCAAAATGTAATAACTTTGTTGTAAATGGAGATATTTTGATTCCGTTTTCAGTTTCTGTAATGGTTTAACTTGGACCATTAAAAAACACAAAAATCTCAAATTCGATAAATTTTGCCATAAGGTCGATTTCTATCCGACTAGGCTCATATGCAATTTTCGACCGATTCATCGTCGTACATAACAATTTATTTCGGAATTTTATCCCTTATCATAGTAGGTAATATTGTAGCCACGGGAGCCTTTTATATTCCTGTTCTTAAACAAGTGAGAATAGCATTTCGTTCTTTTCGTAGAAAGGTAGCCAACAAATATAAAGAAGACACTGTACCCACAGAACTAGAGGCTGTTTCGGATTCGAACGCCGAGCAAATTGAAATGAAAACAGTCATAAATTCTAATGTTTCAACTCCAGCGACAAATGAAGAACCAGTTCCAAATTTATCTCCAGGTAAAACTACAGAGCACGGAAGCGCTACAGAGACTGCTGACGATACAGAGGAAGCCAATTCCTCTACCAGTCAAAACATTTCAAAGAATGAGAATAAAGATGAAAAAGCGAAGGAAATGAAAGAAACCAAGTCAAAGCGTAAATCAGTTCAAAAGAGGTTAACTATGATGTTCTTTGTGCTTATCTTAGCATACATTATCTCTTACATTCCCCCCTTGTGTTTTTGGTACTAACATACGCCATCGACAATTTTAATTTTATAACCTTAACAAAGACAGAGTCTGTGCTCTGGATATACCTTCCTCGTCTGGTGTTTTTGAATCACGTGATCAATACATTCATCTATGGATATTATGATACAAAATTAAGAGATCAACTGACAGCATGTTTTAAGAGGGAAAAATACAGCATCAACTGATTTATTATTCTAGAACTCTTGTGAACTACTCTTAAATGAAAGTTTTAAAAAATACATTATTAATGCAGAGGTAAAATACTGTCTGATATAGCTATCAAGATAAAGCTATCTGATATATATGAAGTAAACTAGGTTTCTGCTCTATTCAAATGGATTTGGCGGGCAAAGTTATACAAGTATATAATGTATACACAGGATAAAATTGTTTTCTGCAGATTACAAAGGAAAGTTTAATACGCACTTATTTTATATCCAGTCAACATCAAGTACTTGAAACGATTTTCATCAAGGACTTACAAAAATGTAGAGTAAAAACTGGATATATCTCGAGAAGATATTAAAAAAAAACAAAGAAAAAGAAAAAATGAAAACAAATGAAAGGATAGCTTTATAACAATTATATTGCTTACAAAAACTTTATCATGTGATAATATCCCAAGGAAAATATGTGTGAAAAATCAAGCAGGAAGATTGGTCTTTTGGAAACTCTAGAAGTAGTAAAATACATACAACAGTGGTCTTTCTAGGACGAATGAAATTATTCAGACATTTAAAAAAAGGTAAACAAGATATTAAGCATTAATGTCCAGATATTGGCTATTTTTGTTAAAAGACAGTGTACTGAAGGGTATTCAAAAATTCTGGACAACATTTAAACAGTTAAAGTCAAAATTGAAAGGCCTTTTGCATATGTTGAGAATGTGTGAGAAATACTTCACATCCCTAACAAGAAGTTACGTACAGTAGTTAAATATAATTAAATATATTTCGATTTTTATCTGATTTTTGTCCCCCAACCTTTTGAAGATTTAAAGCTATAGTGAATCTGTGTGAGAAAATCAAAAACATAAGATCTTTTGACTTTTCAACTTTTTCATAAAAACATTCCGCACAATAATCTCCAGCATTTCTTGCATCATTGACAGCTGCTTTTTAAATAAAAAAGAAACTTACCTTGTCATTGTTTATTTCCAAAATTACTTTGCTAAGATTAATTTTATGGGAATAACGAACAGTGTTCATTATCAAAGTCCACAAAAAATACAAAATAGGAGCAGAGCAGACACGGATCTCAAAAACATCAGAGGTGGGATCAGGTACCATGGAGGAGTGATCATTCTCTGCCAACTGACCACACTCGCCGTGTGCTCCTTGTCATGAACGGGAAACAACGGAAAAATTTATTGCCAATTCAGTGTATAAATAATGGACTAAAAATTGAATGAAAAACATCTGTCAGCAATTGACTCAATGATGAATTGTATTTTGCTGAGAAAGTAATTGTATCAACCATAGAACTTCCGAAATTATGACATTAAAGGAGAGTGCTGATATTCTTTTTTTTCATCAATTGTTTGTCAATAATTTACCTGAGCTCGTTTTCGATATTTGTTCATACGTATCGAATTCATTTAGATATATAAAGTCCGCATGCAGGTGATGATTGTTTATTGCAGCATAAGTAACAAAAGTTGATGATAGAAAAGACAGGACTAATTTGATAACTTGCATAAAAGAAATGATACAGGGTTTCAGTGTTGAAATGTTTAAGTGTAGTCCTCTCCGATTTTAATTGTTTTGTCCATGCGTGAATCACGTGATTTATGCGGTGACGTGACATGCTTCGTAGTGTTCTGTCAAAGAAGCTAAAAGATTTTCTGACTCTAATAATTCTTACCATGCAAGTTATTGTTTTGATAACAATACTGTTAATTTGTCAGAAATGGCCTATTGTGGGAAATAGTATGGATGAAAAACGATATCCGTTTCCAGAAACGGCATGGTGACCATCATAACCCGAGTATTCTGCCTTCGGAGCGTCGTTTGTGCAATATGGATAACGTATTGGTGCCTCATTTTTATCATATCTGATATGTTTTTAGTCTATAAAGTTAACGGTATTTTAGTAATTAAATAGTTATATTATTGTTAAGATATTAAACTACATTTTTTA